GAGAATTTTGCACCTGTAAATTAGTCAAAAGTTCGTTTCAATCTTATTATGCCCGGTTTGAGAAGAGAATATAATGACTAAAACAGCTTAGAAGATAAACCTTATCGAACGCAAAAGTATCAAAAAGGCGATCTGTCATATTAAATTTGATTTTATATATTTATTGAAAGGCTGTTAAAAACATCTGGAAAATATCATTATTGTGTTTTTATATTAATTCTGACTTATATCTTTGTCCAACACTTCTTGTCATCGCAGAATCGAACAGACCTCTACCTATAACGGAAGCTCTTCAATCGAACAGGCTGTTAGTGTTTAAATGACCAATGAAAATTCTCCCTTTATTCATTTCTTTACTGTTAATTTTAGCGAAAGTCAATGTGAAATCAGACGGCCTTCGGCCGAAAAATCCGCAAGAGATTTCTTCTGCTCCATTTTATTATATTGTAACCTTAGTGCGGTAACGGGTTAAAATAACTACATGTAATTTATATGTGCACATTATATTATTTATGAATTATTTTATAATTATCAGTATCATGAATATTTTATCAATTATACTGGTTAAAAATACATTTCATAAAAGGTAATATACTTCTAATGCAACGAAAAAAATTATATAAACTTTAAATTTGCAGACTCAGTTAAGCAATATGAAATGAGGGTGTAGTTAATCTGGATAACTCTCAAATTATTTGATTTAACTAAGTTATCATGTTGCGATATATATAAAAAATACTGACTTCACCAATTTGGACCTTTGAGACTTGTTGTGAATGATTCTGTACAAGTCATGACAGATAGGATTGATGCTAATTCAAACTAATTTGCGCATAATTAACGTACATTGAGCAAGAATTTACAAAACTTTAACAAATTGTCATATATCTTATACTGCAAAAGGTTCTGCAGCAAAGAAAGTAAACATTTAACAAGTAATATGTAGCATATAATTGTATGTTTGACATGTATGCATTCTTAAACATTAATTTGGCAAAAATCAATTAACACATTGATGACTGCATCATGCAATATTTACTACACTTGTCCATATAAATGCATGCATTTGAATGAGTCGTTTGTAAGTTTGCAACATTTTCAATTTTGCCGTGTTGGGCTTTCTTTAGGGATTCTGCTTTTCTCTATTTTATTATTTTTTACATGGTTATTATATCTATACAAGCAATTACTGGAGTAATTCCAAATTCCATTTGATTTTCTCTCACCTCATTTAAGATAAACAAACAAGATAAAATACAGAACAGTTACGTAATTTGTTCAGGTTTTGATTTGTTTATCTCATTATCAGCATTTTCAAGTCCATAGCATATGTACTATATGTTTCTCATAGCCTTAAACATATAAATTTAGACATTCATTGAGAGTTTTTTATTTTGTTTTTGTTTTTATTTTAAGTCACACCAACACTTTAAAAGTCTTATAGTTACTGATTGGAGAGGACGCCAAGTATCTGTATAGGCACGAGCAGGCAGCTGAGTAGAACTACCGACCATTCTTAATCTTGCTCGTGAAAAATCTAAAATGACCAACGGAATTCTAACCGTCAGTGGTGTAGGACAACGGAGGTGAAGAAGAAACATCATCAAAATTATAGAATTACATTTTAGATTTCCATTTGTTTATAAACTTTGAATTCAAGTTGACATATTTTGAATCAGTTTCATGTTAGTCTGCTAGCAATTCTGTGTAATAGGCCCTCAGTTTCTTATTTAGTATGTTCCCGAGATTTTTGTGTAAGTTCATGCCGTTCATTCTTTTATGATCATAAGGCATTATGTGCGTTTGTTTTGGTTTTGTTTATTTGTACATTTCCGCTTTATGTTGTTACATCCTTCTTTGCTTTCTTTGTTCTTTTTGTCTTGTAATCTTCCTTTATTCCCCGTTTCATTTCTTCCACTGTTCCCGCCTTTGTTCATTCCCTTCATTTTTCCTTTCCCTCTTCGTTCACTCCTTTATTCGTTCCCTTCCTTCATTCCTTTCCATTTTGCCCTTTCCTCCTTCGTTCCTTTATTCCTCCGTTTCTTTCACTACTTCCTGGCTTTTTCCCTTACTTCGTTTTATCGTTTGTTCATTCATTCCTTCATTCTTTCCTTTTACAAATGAATAAACAACCGCAAAGGTTATTAAAATTTGGATGGTATTAATATAATAATTATCTCATAAGAATTTAGTACTTGATGTTTGATCCTTGAAACAAGTTGCAATATCTAAAGAATTAAGCCCTGCTTTCAAACTTTATTATTTTCTTAACGCATGAAATAAGATAAGTTCGTTAAAGTGTTAGAAAATCAAATTGAATTATTTTGTTTATGCATATCTGGCGAAAGAAATGTAAAACAGACTCATTCACTTCGAAAACATAGCGAAATGTTATACATTATCTTAAATCTAAAGAGAAGTGCAAAGGATTGACATCATTAAATATGAAGATCTTTTACTTATTTGTTTGTTCAATAGGACTTCTAGTGTATAGGCAGGCAGTGTTCGCAAACCATCAGGAGCCCGTATGTTTTTCTCGGTTTGACTATGACCATAAAATGTTACAGAAAATGATTACGTTGGAAATGGAACAGAAAAATATCAAAAAGTTGATAGAAGACATGAAGAACATGCAATCGGAACATACAAGTAATGTATACGTTTACTTATTCCAGAATCTGCTTGTTAGTTAATTCATGTAAAAATGATGAAATTATAACATTTTGATAGTTTGTTCTTAAACTTCGTGTTGAAACCATAATTGTTATTGAAAATTGTACTTGTTTAAAAGAAATTAATATTTTACATCATTGTCGAAGCGATTATAGATTTAATCTTAAGAGATATTGAATTTATTGACTGTGCTCTTCTAAAGTGAATAAAATGATAAAAAGATTGTGTTTCTATTTCTTTCACACAAATTCACCGAAGTTATCCTCTCTTTTTATTTTTACCTTATCATTTCTATGTTTTGTCGAAAAGTGTTAAGAATAAGCTGACACGATGTGCACTGTTTTGAATATAAAAATCTTAAAAAATCATCAATTTCTATACTAATACGATGCATTGGACGAATAAATTTAGTATTTTATATAAAAAAAGAAACCTTTTTTCAGAGGAAAGAAATAAAGACAGGACAGTATTGAATACCATTGAAGGAAAAGTCCTTACTATTGAAGGCATGAATACACTTGCTGGAACAGGAAATACGTATGTAAGATGGGGAAGAACACGGTGTCCAGAAAATGGTACAGAGTTGGTTTACAAAGGTTACGCTGGTGGTTCCTACTATAGTAATAAAGGAGCTTCCGCCAACTTTTTATGTCTACCGGAAAAACCGTTGTGGAATGTATATGAGGACGCTGAACAGACTGCCGGCACTGTCTGGGGAGCGGAATATGAATTGTATGGTAGAAATATGAACAATTTCTTTGAGGAAACATTGCTCCAACAAGATGTTCCATGCTGTGTATGCCGGACGAAGAGGGCAAGTGTTTTGTTTGTCCCCGGTCGTAATCAATGCTATGATGGATGGACATTAGAATACGAAGGTTACCTATCGAGTGGTCATTACAGTCACGAAGCATCATCTGAATTCGTTTGTCTCGATGTTGAGCCAGAAATAATTGACGGCGGCAGTGCTAGCGAAGATGGAAAACTGTTCTATTTTGTAGAAGCACGTTGTGGATCCCTACGATGTCCACCATATGTAAATGGACGCGAACTTACATGCGCTGTTTGTTCAAAATAACTTATGTGCCCTTACACAGGTTAAATGAAATGAATGAGCGTTTCCTATACTTTTTGGTAACGAAGCTTTCTTTTAAATTTATTTAACTATTCACGTTCAGTTTGTGATATCTGTAACAATGTTTTTAAGTACTGCGATATACTTTAATCAATTCAAATTTTGCAAATCTGCGAGGTAACTAATACACCACATAAAGATGAATTTTCAGTTGAATATACTAATGTTTTACGATCATATATTCAATGCACGAATACTTGTTGATTTAATGAACAATTCTGTCATTTTTGAGCTTCAGCAAAAACAAATGTGTCTCTTTGTATATGATTATGCAATAAATAGGTGTGTTCTATGTATGTGTTGAATTCTCTTTGAAATCTATAATGATATAAAATACACAAGCAATATTTTCATGCGAACTATTGACATTTCTCCCAATGAGTGATAAATGACATAATTTACACTGTAATTGTCCAACTTTTCTTCTATACAATTATTTATACACGGTCAGATTGCCTGTAAAAATCCTTATTAATATTTTATAATACAGCACAATTCTTTTATAGGGAAAATGAAAATAACGTCATAAATTTTCAGCAGTCGTTACATAGTGTATGTAAAAATGTCACAGTTTTTATAGAAATCCGTGGCAGATTAATAATATCTGTCATATGTTGCAGTTCGGACCGGAATATTCGTCCCGGGGGTAACGAGGCTTGTCGAAATGACGTCATCCTGAGCAAACAGTTCCCTTTTAAAGTGACGTCATTTTACCGCGGTTTATTCATAAATTGCGCAAAATTGACGTTGTATGGCACGCGACTCATCCCCCCCATGCCAGATGAAATTTCCGGCATGGAAACGCCAGTCTATCATGCAAGAAAATATTGTTTATATCATTCGCCGTTTCTGTTTTAACAACGATTTAAAATTCATAATACACGTTATCAACTTTGAACATATCTGGTCACGAGAATTATTGGAATGTAAGAAATAACCTATTAACCCCTTATTGAAAATACTCTATTTATAAAATTACTTTACCCATTGTTTTTTGGGGGTGTTTTTTTGGTAAGAACAAAAGAAGATACGACGTATAAAAGAAAGAAAAAAGTTATGATTTAACATGCTGTAACGAGCATATTAATCCAGATCTGTTGCGTTAACAAAAGATAAGTTTTGTCCAAGAGAATGTGAATACTAAATCTATATATATGGATTAATCACGGATGTTGATAATAATAATAATAATAATAATAATAATAATAATAATAAAGACTTTATTTAACGAGAGAACTCATTTGAACAAACATATCAATCTTCCATGAGGCCCTCAACAAGGAACAATATAAATTTAACACATTCAAACTATTAAAATACATAAATGTAAAAACATACAGGAGATTATCAATTTGTATACATCAATGCGTGACAAAACCTCAAGTATAAAGTTTTAAAATGGTTAACAGATGTAGCAGACTTAATATAATCAGGAAGGCCGTTCCAAATACAAGATCCAGAATAAACAAAAGACTTACGAAATTGTTCAGAATTTGGTCTAGGGGTAAAAAGTTGAAAATCAGATGATGAACGCAAAATGCGAGTATGAACATCTGACGATAAAATGAAATTATTCAATAAATAGGAAGGCGCCTGATTATTCATTATTTTAAACATCATAATAGCTTTTTGAAAAACAACCCTCTGTGAAAAGGTCATCCAGCGGAGATCAGAAAAAAAGTTCAGCAGATGGAGTGTCATAATCTTTGTCTAGAATTAGTCTTGCAGCTCTCTTTTGGAACTTAATGAGTTTATCCTCTAGAAAGGACGTACAGTTACCGTAAATTATGCAACAATAATCAAGATGTGGTAAAATATATGCATTGTAAAACATTTTACGTACAGGTATAGATATGAATAATTTTATACGTGATAATAAATGTAACAATGAGTTACACTTTTTAAGAACATTATCAATATGGCTTTGCCAAGACAAGGTGTTATTAATTGTAATACCCAATAATTTTTCTTCAGAGCTACAAAAAATTTGCTCTGTTTTATATAAAATACAAGGATTACTTTCATGAATATAATTTTGCTTGTGTTTTGAGGAAATATACATGACCTTAGTTTTGTTAACATTGATAGACATGCGATTCAAATCACACCATTTGTTGGCATTTAAAAGATCATGAGTAAGAGATTCAACTACTCTGTTTAGGGATACATCAGAGGTTGAAAGGGTGGTGTCATCAGCAAAAATATCAGTTTCTGTTTTTTCCATAGACAAAGGCAGGTCATTGATATAGATTAAAAACAGTATAGGACCTAGCACAGAGCCCTGAGGAACTCCAGTAGTTACTGAACTTGACTCTGAATATAGTTGAAGCTGATATAATCACGTCTGCCCTTAGGGACCCCCCCCCCCTCCGGTTCAAATAGGAAAGTTTATATTACAAAAGTAATAACCAAACACTAACAAATCTGATAATCACATTGAATACTATTTTTTCTAAAAAATAATTTCATTATATGCATCTTTTATTCTTTATCCTATCGCTAAAGTCGTTCCATGGTTATGAAAACCAGGGATATAGTTAGACATAAAATGCTATGCTAGACATAATATGCTATTAAAGTGAAATTATGCTCATGGAAAATTAAAAATAAAACTGTTACAATAGTGATTGACCAACTGTTGATACTGGAAAATGTTTAGGATAAAGTATAAATAGTTACAGGTAAATTCCGATGTATATTTACATAAATTTCCCTGGTTCATGTGAGTTTTTGTCACTCATGCGAAGTAAATTATACATTTTGTATTATTATATACTTATAAATGAAATATTGAGAAATATTAATGAAATAAAATGCATATTTTCTTTTTCCGTATTTTCACTGTAAAATTTATTTTTCACTGCAGTGAAACATATTTTCCGTATTTTCACTGGTGTCTTGCCGGACTACTTCCTTTTAAATTCTGCCAGTACACAAAATTAAAGGGAAAGTCTTTCAAATTTTAATGTCAAAAAAGAGAAAAATGTATATAATAAACAGAAAATATAAGTTTTTTTTCTATAAATACATGATTAATTTCATCTTGTGGCATGAAAATTACCATATTTCACTCGTGACTACCGCCACTCATGAAATATTTATTTTCATACCACTCGATGAAAATAAATCATGTATTTATAGAAAAACCTTCAATATCCTCTATTAATAAAAGGGAATTATGGCAAAATGTAAAATTATATTGACTTTCACCAGTCCTGCTCACTCGGTACATACCCTTGGATGGGCATAATTTCACCAGATGCAAGTAAAAGCAGCTTTACCTCGTCCGAGTATCATTTTAAAGATACTTCTTGTTTATTATGAGACCTAATGTGCCTTTGTTCAGTACTTCAGTACCAAAAAGGTGTAGAATTTTATAATAAACAACAGCCGTTTTGTCCGTCGTGACGCCACTTTAATAACCTAATTATATATTTAACCTGATCATATATTTAAAAAAGACGTAGAAAATGAATTATCAAACAGATAACAAAGGGCATACCAAAAACATGTATGTAAAACAAACTAGGAATGTCTGATATTTTGAAAAGAATAATATAATTATTAATTGTATCATAGTTTGGGGACCTTTCTGTTGAAAAAGTGTCAGACGTATACATATACATGCACAGTGCGGTAACTGGAGTGCAGGTATCAGTTACCCGCGCTCCAGATCATGCCCGTTGATTGGCTCATTTTTGCTGGGGTTTACATATTGTGACGGCAGAGAAAGGGAAAGCGGCAGAAATATCATATTCAGATGCTCGTTCATTGGTTACTTTTTCCCGGGGTTTAAAATTGTGACAACAGGGAACGTATTTTTATGTTTGACTATGATACAAAAGAGAAAGAACACCAAAACACTCGGCAATCTGATTTATACTCGGGGGCTACGCCCCCTCGTACAAATCAGATAGCCTCGTGTTTCGATGCTCTTTCTATTACTATATGTGAAATCAAACTTAGGATTTAAGACTTTGGTGTATTCAAACATAAGTTATTCTTGTAAAATTAAAGATATCCATGGGATTATTCTTGCACAAGTCAGATTGCCTGCTAACAGTCTGGAGATAAAAAAAGGAGACACGATAATATTAAAAGAGAAAATAGAAATTGTCGAAATTGTCCATTAGATATAAAAGAAACAAAATAGAAATTTTTTGTTCAATTAAGATACAAAAAAAAATTTACGCGCAGAATATCTATATATATATCTGTAGATGGCCCACACTGCAGAAGTTCGATACAATTATGTCGGGCACAGAAATCAAAACAATTAATAATCTGAAAAGTTACCTGTATTATGCATTTGAAAAGAGGACAACAATTTAGATTTTCTACGTTTTTGTAAAGGGAGACAACCCAAACAATTTGGCTAGTAACACACAACAGTTATATCATCACTATTGTATTTTCGTGTTTTCGTTGTTTTGAGTTATGTGGGTGTCGCGATGGCCCTAACGGGTTAAAAAATAATTTTGATTAATCTAAGTATGTTCATGATACAAATGTACATGTATTTATTATCTAAAATAGTCTAGAGCATGTTCATTTTTTGAAGTATTGGCGGTCTTCTTTTATTTTCCTTTTTAAAATTGCAAGGTTTAAAAAGAACGAGAAAAATAAAGCAAAACATTAATTGTGCAGTGTTAACATAAATTGTTCACACAAATGTTTAATCTTTTAATCTCTTGATTATATTTAATGATGGCATACGCCTGTGACAGAAAGAAATGCAATTTTGTTTATCCTAGATATACACTCGTATATACAATATGGACAAGACTACATTAATTAGCTCCCTTGCGAAATCTAATATAGTATATATAGTTTAGAAATCGGTGTTTATTACGTATGTATAGATGACTTTATTGCAAGTGGCACAATAATGTATGTGAAATTCACGCTATCTTTGTCAACATGTTCGTAACTCAATATTAAACTATGTAATATATGTTAAACTGATTATGTCAAATCCTATACTGAAGGAAAAAAATTAGATTAAACTGTTCACCTTCAAGAAATTTGCAGACTATCCATTGATTTTGTGATTGTATATATGTATGTATGAATGAATGTATTATGTAATTGACTATGTACTTTGTATACGTCAAAATAAACTTTCTGTTCTGTTCTGTTCCTAGATATACAAATGCAAAATAATGACTCCAAATGTAGATGCAAAATAAAATGGCAGAAACGCTAAAACATTAATTAATGTCTATGATTTCGGTCAGACATTACCCTCATCAATATCATATAAAATTTCATTTGTTTACTGCCGAC